ACAAGACATGGGAACTTCGGTCATTTCCGTTGCCTGGGCACCGGAAGTGGGAACGCACAGCAATAGCTATGAGCAAATGCAACCTTCTGGTGGGAGAGGTTACTTTTGACAAATGCATCAGGGTTGGCCGCAAATGCAAAGATACAGGCGAATGGGAGCCAGTGAGCCAAAGTGAAAAGCACAAAAAGAACTTCTTCTTAAACCCAAGAAATTCAGTCAAGTGTGGCTTCAGCAGCACCAACGTCCCCCGTGTCATCTCGAAGTACCAAGAGATTTACGCTTGGAAGATGACCAACATCCAGAAGTACTCGACACCAAAGAAGTGGAATCCTAAACGTGGTGCGGTCATCTTTTGCAACTTGGATGGCCCTGAGGACGGCAAGGACCAGAAGTCGACGGATTAGGATGATAAGTTGACAGTTGCTTTGGCCGCTTGAATGCGGTATTATAGTCTTGACAGGTGGCAGTCTGAGCGAAAACAAAGCGCGCACTTCAGCTGAAAAGATTTCAAAACTCCCCTCCCTGCACGTGGGCCATTGTATTATAAATCTAATAATAAAAACTTGCCAGAATGTCTGTGTCAGGCGTATGATGGTGGATTGACGCAGGCATCGCTTCACTGTTTCATAAACGACTTCAGCCACTGTCCTCCTCTGCCAGGTGATGATGGCGAACCAGCACCCCCCCGACGACAACAATGACCCGCAGAAGACGCTTCAGCGTTTGGCCCAGGTTACTATTTCAAAAAAACCTGACTAGGCCTGATTGCAGTTAAATGACTGTTTCGACAAGTTTGACTGAGGTGTCCAGGAGCTTCAATTTTTTCAAAACTGTCGAGATGACGATGACAATGATGATGAACCTTGCCGTCGCAATTAAACCCGCTGTGGAAACCAGGCCATTGGGTTTAAACCGGTGTTTATGGGGAGTTTCGACTTGTAGTCGGTTTTTATTGCTTTTTTTATGACCCCCTGTTGAAGGAAGGAAGGCTGTAATTTATTATGATTGAGTAACACAGACAGACGAGACGGTACGCAATTTTCCTTCGTCCTGGAAGGCTGAGAGGCCCAGCTAGATGACGAGGACACAGAAGGGAAAAAGAACAGCATGCAGCGCTGATGTGGCTCTCATCAGTTCTAATTTGGATTGCAATGACGGTTGTCGGTCGGCGAGTTGATTTCGGCCCTTGTTGATATGAGAAGGTTTAGGTGCACGTTTAGTCATTGTCATTAACATGAAAATAAGACATAGGACGGCTATTTTTCCATAATAAGACATCAAAAGCTTAGCAAAAATTTCTTTTTAGCAGGCCCACAACCTGCTTCCAGCCATGGCCGACTTGGACTATGAGGATGATGCCCCCTTCACTACCACAGCTAAGGCTAAGACTAAGAGGGACAGTGGCGACAGTGGCAAAAGTGCCAAACAGGACGCAGTTTTAGAGGAAGATCTTCACACTCATTGGCGAAAGGCTTCAACCAGGCTCACAAAAGTGTTCAAGTTGGGAAACGTCCTCACTGACTCGGAGAAGAAGACTTTGCCCTTAGAGTCTGCTACACTGACTTCAACGACGTGGGTGTCCCTCACCAGCAGTGGGCTGTTATGTATGGCATGCAAAAGAGCAGGTATGACAACGCCCTGGGCAAATGGTGAAGCAGGAAAGGAATCGAAAGACTTGGCTTCGGTGTTCAAGTCTGGGTACTTGAAGCGGCACGAGGCGTCTTCTGCTCACAGGGCTGCAGTGCGCAAGATGTTGCTCATTGATGATGCACCGGGAGCCCCTCCAGCAGATGATTTCAGATCTTTGCTGCAGAGCTTACAGGCTGGCAAGCCACAGAAAAGCAGTCATGGTGCGAGCTACTCAGACAAATACTCTTTGATGACCTGGGCGTTGCATGAGACGCTGTTAGATATGGAAAGAGATGACATGGCAAAATCGTGTACGATTTCCTTGGCCAGGGACGCTCGCAAAGCTCGCTTGCTGATCAAGTACGGAATTTGCACGGAGACTTTTTCTTCGCGAGCTGGAGTTCTTGGCATGAGCCTCGGAGGTGGAGACCGAGCAGGTGACATTGTTAGACAAACACGGACGTTGATCCGAAGGTTTTGTACCAAGTTCGCAAACAAGCCTCGCTGGAGCTGTGGGCCTGAGCCCCAATTCATGGAGGGCCTTTTCAACCACATGACTTCGATGATTGAGATTATCATGTCCGACAGCGCGGCCAACGAAATCCTAGCAGGCCTTGGTTTTGGTTATAACTATTTTGTTTATATAATTTCATTTTCTTTGTCTGATGAAGTTAAAGAAGTTAAACAACGTTCAACATGCAGGTGATGTGGGTGCTGGAAAAAGAGACTCCAACATTGAGGATGAGGGCGCGCAAGAACTCCACCCTAACCTGAAGCTGATTGGAAGAGACAAGGCCCATGCCTTCCGGAAAGTCCTACAAAGACCCTACTGTGCTGACGACTTCCTGGAGGCGTTGATGAATGACCACATTCTGGGCTCCCATTCAATGACCCAAATCATTTCGAATTCGCATGAATTCTCTTTGTGGTTGGAAGAGGAGATCAGCCGCCAGGAGCAGACTGCCGGATTCGGGGCAAATTGCAAAAACCTGCGTTCAGCAAAACACAGGTTCGAATCACACTCGACACCGCTAGGGAGGATGCTTTTGTATTGCCCGGCCTTTTTGGCCACTTGCCAGAAAATTGCCGAGATCCGAAAGGACAACAAAGAAGGGCGCTGTGCCTTAGCGTACCTTCAGTCATTGACCCCGGAGGGTCTCTGCCAACTAGGCATGTTGGGGGATGCGGGAGATGAAGGGCTCTTACTCGTCCGAGCAATGGACAAGGAAAACGTCGACATGGCCGAAATCTCCACTGTTGTCCATTCATTTCAGAGCCGCATTGGGGTGCTGTTCCAACAGTCAAAGGTCGTGGAATGCGGCTACACGCACTACATCTTGGAGCTCCTTCGGTCCGGGTCTTTATGCATCTTCTTGCCTGACGCTGTCAAGAAGTTCAGAGGGGTGAGCCGAGACATGTTGGAGAGGTGCCTCGCCCGTATGCGTTGCTGGGCCCGGCTTGCTGTGGAAGTCTTGCGGGCTGAATTCCCACACCATTCACTGTTCAATGCGATGCAGGTCTTTTCACTGAAGACTGAGAGGGAGCAAGCGTGTGAGATCAGTGAGA